CTTCTGTATATTTCATTTTGTTTTTGTTTTTGTTTTTGTATTTCTTTTTTTTTTTCTTCTTTCTTTTATTGTTTTTCTGTAGTAGTGTCATCCCTACAGAACCGGGGCCGTCCTTAGCACTACGACCGGGCCTTCCCTTGGCCGACCCCCCCTAAGGCTGCGGCGTGTATACGGGAATACACGCCCACGGCCAATAGCTGAGCGAGGCACTGTTGCATGTGCATAAGGACGAGTCACCTCCCGAAGCTGATGAGCGGCCCAGCATATCGCCACCTCCCGAAGCTGATGAGCGGCGCAGCATATCGAACGCCAAACTGAGCCGAGGCCGCCCGACGGGGGCGGGGGAAGGGGAGGCGGGGGGAAGGGGAGGCGGCGGGGAGAGAGAGGATGACAATTGTTCTTCATGGCCGGAGCAGGGAGGCTTTTTTTTTTGCTTTTTTCTATTTAATGATCCTTCCGCAGGTTCACCTACCGAAACCTTGTTACGACTTCTCCTTCCTCTAAATGATAAGGTTCAATGAACTGCTCACAGCATAGTACTATTCTATGTGGTGTATACTAACTATATGTAGATATAACTGTGTGAAGCTGACCCGCACTTTCCTGGGCTTTGGTGAGAGCTTGTGGGGTACGGGAGTAGCCTCTGGGGGCGGGGCGGTGCAAATCGAAATCCGACGGCGATAGCGGTCCGTTAAATCCCACACTGGCCGTGCTCAGCTACATCCAGGAAAGTCCTGAGCGTACGCCCTCAGTTGTTCCCTAATACACTCCCGCGCACAAATTTGCACGATGCATACATGTATTTATCCTGTACGGCGCACATTGCGGAGTATCTTCCTGTGGTTCGACTCCCGCACAGCGCACGTTGCAAAATATCTTCGTACGGCTCGAATCGCATGCATGTATCCATCTTGTGAAATTGATAGGTGCGACAATGTGTAGCGTAACTTGCAATTTTATAACATGTTCATGCAGATAAATTGGTTGCATACAGAGATAGATCGCCATTGCACGACAATAGGAAACGAACCATAAATATACATATACTAGAATAAAATCATAAATAAACAACCGCCATTGACTCCATCGCATGTGCACGTAAACAGCATTTGTACACATTTTCTGCTCCTTCCTCATAAATTACATATATAGACTGATAAGCATACATATAAATTCGCTACTAAGTAGCAGTTACCGAACGATTCAGCTCACTGCCAAAGAAAAAACGGAGCAAAACACGTGAAGGGGCATCGCCAAAGAATTTCTTTTTCAAACAAGAAAACAAAATACAAATCCCCAATTATCGATGTTTTTCTCGAGGGTCTATTTGGACATGGCCCTCATGCATCACTCAGCAGAGTGTACATACATGCAACCACTTTTGTCCCTCATGCGCCCATTCCCGCCCATGCCCCACTTGGGGAGGGAGTTTTACTTCGGAAGGGCTCAGTCATGGTTTCCAGCATACATGCGTCCCTGCCATGCGATCTGCTGCGAATCTGACGGCCACGGTGTGACCACGTTGAAAAACACTCGAAGCGAGAACTCCGCAAGTGCGGCACGTAATACCCCGCCCTCCTCAAACTCCGGCAAATACCCCGCGAAAACGTCGATGGGGAAGGAGTTTGTTTTTTCGTTCTAATTTAAAAAAAAAGAACACAGAAAAGAAAAAAGAAAAAAGCAGCATCTTAGGGAGACAGAGCTTCTCTCAGCTTTCAAGATGAGCGAGTCAAGCAAAACATTGGCACGTGGCACATTGCAGAGAGTGAGGGAGGATAGTTCGGGTTAGGAACGAGTTTGGCGGCGGGATCCAGACGTGGCATTAGCCTGAAAAGCACGTGGGCGACAAGCGAAACGCGTCGGGATCCCGCGTTGCTGTCTCGCGGTCTACATACAAGTCTTCCATGTGCTATTTTCTATCACTCTTTTTTAACAGCTCTCATTCAATTAATGTCTTGCTTTCGAGGCTTCTTTTTTTTATCCCTCCGCTTCGACCTCCTTTTTCGCCACATGACAGCCACAGCCGTCAAATTTGTTTCGAAAGACGAGACACAGAAAGCGAAGATTTAATCAGTGGACGCACCCTGCGCATCCATTAATCTAAGGATGACACGCATAAATCCAGGAACGGTCCAAAATATTACTTGGAAAAGCAAAAGTCGCGTTCGGCAAAGATCGGCCCGAGTTGCGTTTCGCTTCTCTATACTTCCACCATTTCAATACACCCGAATGTTTATGTTTTCATTTTATTTCTCCCTGTTGTCCCTAGCCAATTTTGGCGCAAAAACCAATCCGAGAGGGCCCTTACGATTTCCCCCCCTTCCACCAAGCGGTCGTGAATGCACCTCGCCGCCTTCATCGCGCAGATGCAGAACGGCGGGATCATGGTGTCGAATCTCCGCCAAAAGAAAAAATAATGCATAGTAACTCAGCAAATTAATTAATAATCGCAGAAACTCCGATCTCCCGTCTGCTTTTTTTCCCCGACTACATAAGCGACGTTTTCCTTTTCCTTCGTCAATGAATCCAGGGTAAATTAATAATGATCATAAACCCTGATCTGCCGCCTGTTTTCGATTTATTTTTCTCCCTTTCCGCGGCTTCATGGACAATGGGACCGTGGTAGGAATGAGCACCACCATAGACACCTCCATTCATTCGTTTGTTTACGCACACACATTTTGCAGTAATTAATGGAGAATTTGCTTTTACCTGAGCGCGCGCCACAATGGGCCCTCGCACGGCGTACTCGCAGGCCAACACCTGTCAACACGACAGAAGAGAAACGAAAGCGCAACGCAACAAAGAGAAGAAGAAAGAAAAACGAAGAACAAAAAAGAAAGAAGAGAGAAGATGACATGACAGAAGAAAGAAGAAAGAAGAAGACAGATGACAGAAGAAAGAAGAAGACAGATAACAGAAGAAAGAGGAAAGAAGAAAGAAGCAAACAGAAGAGGCAAGAAGAGGCAAGAAGAAAAGAAGAAAGAAAGACAGACGAAAGAAGCAGAAGGAATAGGGGCAAAATGAAGAGGGAAGGAATCGGAAATAATCAGGCAAGCAGACGAGTGCCAAGTGGTCAGGAAAGAACAGACTTTACATAAGAAAAGAAAAAAAAGTCGTCATATTCCTCTTTTCCCTCTTTCATCCGGCGATTGAAAAAAAAAGTCCTCTCAACGTAATCGCGCAGAATAACCCTTTACATTCCCCAATTCTGCTTCCTTTGTTTTTCTCTCCATCAGACACTACTAGTAACACTACACATAACCACAAATAAAAATAGAACAGCAATAGCTCCTACATAAACAACTAAAAAAATCATAGCAAAAAAATCAAGACCTAATAACACAAGTAAACCTGAAGTATTACAAAATACTAAAATGAGAAATAAAACGAATGAACTGGAAAGACTCTGCTATTGAATCTCAATTTCTAATAAAAAATACATTATTCCATCCGTCAAAAATAAAATAAAAAAAGATATTAATTATTCATTCTATAAAGAGTAATATATCTGATCTCTATTTCATATCTTTTTTTACCATATATAGCATAAAACTTCTCCAATTTTGCGTTGCCGAGCTTGGCGATCCGTTATTATCCCTTGAGAAGTTGAAAGTATAACGACACCCATGCCTCCAAGATGGAATTACTGTCTTGTTGTACAATCGGAAAGATTATATTTGATATTCGAATAGTTAAAGCTAGTGCTCCTGCTTTACCCATCCACTCCACCGACCTCCTTTGCACCCTCAAAGGAAGCACAACAAACACAACAAAAAAGACCGCCAGCCAATCATTGTCACGTCACCCGTCGAGTTTTCTCGATATTATTTCTCACACCATGATGCGTCAACAACAAACTGTGTAAGCGAAAAAATGGCTGGAACAGTGAAGGAGTAGTAGACCGACGAGAGCGAAAAAGAAACAGAGCGGGGCAGCCAACCAGCGTAGCCTCCTGAAGCTCAAGGGAATCCATCCATCCCACTAGCGCTATCCGATTCGTTTGCTCGCTACGCGACTCCGGTAGCACTGAAGAAGCCGCCAAATAGGATATTACTCTAAACACACACTCCATGACAACCGCCAAATAGGATATTACTCGATATATAGATTCACGACAACCGCCAAATAGGATACTACTCTGTCATACACTCAACGACGACCAATCAGTCCGGCTATGATTGCCTTCGTCAATTCTGCCCCGTGGGATGAATTAAATCCATACTACCATGTGCCGTTCGCAAGCAACTCAAGCAGCCAACCTCAGCAAAAAAAATGGTCGTTGATGCACGACAGCCCACGATGTCACGAAAAAATAAACAGTTGACATACATACATACACATATCGTCAAACAGTCTGTCACAGTCCCTCCTTCGGTGTCCTCTCCTCCCTCTGTGCCTACGGTTCACCCGGCAGTTCTCTATGACAAGCTATGCTGTAAATGATTTCCTCGACCATCCCACGGTCGATCGCAGACGATCCATCGCACATTATCCACCACACCACATCCATCGCCGTCATCCATCGCCTTCATCCATCACACACACACACACACACACACACACATCCATGACGTTCTCCATCGGATCCGTCCATCCATCTGTCTACGCGTGGGCGATCCATCTATCCATCCATCCATCCATCCACGTGCAGGCCATCCTCCACTGTATATCCACGTGATGCCGGATCCATTCATTCGTCCAGGTGTGGCATACATGTCACTCTGTCTCAGCTGCGCCGCGTACCCCCGCTGGACATGAACGAGCTGACGACTTGGGATTGGGATCTGAGATCGGAGCAGAGCCAGCGGATATTTTCAGCATTAATGGGGACACCGGAGCACACCAGGTAGCACATCGGGATTGGGATCTGAGATCGGAGCAGAGCCAGCGGATATTCAGTATTAACGGGGACAAGGCCGTACGAGGAAAAGCGGAAACAAAAATGGCCTCGCCTCAGTCAATGATGAATGCTAATACGAACCAAATACAGAAGAAGAGCAAACAGCGATCAAGAGAGAGAGGGAGAGAGAGAAAAAAAGAGATGGAGGGAGAAGACGATGGCGGATTAAGCAAAGGAAAGACAGGAAGCGAAGAAGGGAAGTGGAAGAATGCAAAACAAATAAATGTGTGAACGTGTGTCGCGCGCGTGCGCGAACGTGTGCGTGCGCCTGCATGTGGGTCGGTGCGTGGGTGTGCGTGTGCTTGTGCGTGTGCGTGTGCGTGTGCGTGTGCGTGTGCGTGTGCGTGTGCGTGCGCGTGTGTGAGAGGGAGAGGCACAGAGAGAGAGAGAGAGAGAGAGAGAGGCGTGGAGGAGGAAAACAGCCGCATGGGTGTTTTTCATTTCCCTAAACTCAACTCCACAAAGAAAGGGCAACTGTGACAGGCTGTTGAATCGGAATTTAACCGACTCATCAAGAGGTTGAACCCTGGGGTCCTTCGAAGATGCATTTGAATGATAGATAAGCACTAATCACTTCGCCAAAAGTGCCAGATGGGACTACATTGTGCTCGCGGGATACCCTTCAGAAAAGTGGCCGGCTTATCACACCAACCCTGTGGACTCACAGACAGAGAGAGAGAGAGAGAGAGAAGAAAGCAGGGAAACAATGGCCACAGACAAGAAGCTAGACACGGTACAGGAGCACTGAGAGAGAGAAAGAGAGACAGAGAAAGACGCACAAAGAGAGAGAGATGGCAGATGAAGAAAAAGAAAGGCATCAAACGTAGATGGCAAGAGAAAGAATCCAAAACAAATAACACGAGTCTAGATAACACAGAGAAACCTGGGAGAGAAAAACAGACGCACGTGTGCGCGTGTATGTGAGAGACAGAGCACCACAAGAGAGAAAAAAAGGGGCATGTGAGAGCAAGCAAGCGAGAGAGAGAGAGAGAGAGAGAGAGAGAGAGAGAGAGAGAGAGAGAGAGAGAGAGAGTAGAGTGAGACCGACAGCAAGGCACATATGAGACTCGCAGAGACCGACTCTGTGAGAGAAAGAGAGAGAGGGAGATTATGGAAGAAGAGGAAAGACGGGAAGAAAGGATTAGAAGGATAGCAAACACGGCAAAAGAGAGAAGGAGCGGGGGAAGGAAGTCCACCATAAAAGAGGATTGTTTCTTATTGGGTATGGCTCGAGAGGCTTCTAGGGGATTCGCTCTACTCACATTGGGGTTAATCGTCTTCAGATTCAATGGTGGAGTCTCTACGGCGCCAAAGGGCTCAGCAGCGACAGGAGGCGCCTCGGTTGCCATTCCGAACAATGCGCCTAGCCGTCCTGCGATGGCTCTCGGAGCAGTAGTCGTAGTAGTAGTAGTATCAGTCGCACAACGGAGAAGGTGTGCGTGCGGGTGCACCTGCGCCTTCGTGTTCAAGCCCGCCACTTGCCTTAGAATGCCTCGGGAGCTCCTGACGACCTGCATTCCCGGGAGTTGGCACGGCTATATGGTGAATACCCCTCGGGCAGCTATCGAGGTGAACACTCGTAAGATCCAGATAATTTCACAATTATTTTGTGGAATTATTTTATTATTACGTCGGCAATTCCTCGCTTTTACACACGACAAAAACAGAAAATTGTTTTTTTTTTTTTCTAAAATAAAAACTATATTCTTCTCTCACATTCTTTCGCCTTTCAGTACCTAACTACTCGTAAGGCTATATAAAGGGGAGCCCTTTTTCTTTTTGGGGGGGGAGAAGAGAGGACCCCTTACTTTCTTTCCCCTTACTTTCTTTTTTTTTCCAGCAATTGAACTCTAAATAAATTAAAAATATATATATATAATTCACCCTTTTCTTGCTATGCACAGCGCCCGGTAGAACCTGCCCAGTCGGGCGTCCACCAACGAGCGGATAGAACTAGTGGCGGCACTGCTATCTCACAGGCTGCCTCGCAGCGATCGACATCCGCGTCAACTTGCTTGCCGGCGGACACATGAGCGCGGCCACATCCACCGCCGCCCCCGCTTGCGCACTATATCTCTGACGACATCTCGTATCGCTCTCGGGTGGTGCCCCACGTCCCCGGGCCGGCTGCTGCGCTGCTTCCCCCGGCTGCTGCGCTGCTTCCGCCTCCCGCTCGGTCATTCGGCCGATCAAAAATATATGCCCGATGGCGGATCATCTGCGGCGCCGGCGTGCTCTGCTCACACGCATACGGCCCCGTCACAGGATGAATCCGACAGACTCAGGCCTGGACCCCACTGCTCGGCGGCTGGAAACTGATGTTGGCCACTGTAACCGCGCGGGGGCGCAGCCAGGGCAGAGGGGTGATGTTCCTAAGGCTTGGATCCCACTGCCCGGCGGCGTGGAAAGGCTTCGGCCACAAAAATCGGCCGACCGTGTTTGGAAAGAAGTTTCCGCGTTTTGTTGGAACCCCACCGCAGCCCTGGACTTTCGGGACTGGAAACTCTTTTCCATGCCCGATTAGGAAATACGGCCAGGGTGTTTCCCGAAAAGGCAAGTAGGCCCGGGGATGTGGTCCAGGCCCTTCTGTCGGCATGCACCAGGACATGTCCGTGTGTGGCSGTGCGCGACCGCGTGTGGCACACGCCGCACAGGTACCGCATACATCACAATGGGGTGGCCTGGTCCGCACGCCGCCGGGGCCCTCCGTGGCCGGAAATGACCGTTGGGAATATCGGCCGGTGTCCCACTCCATCGCCCCCGAATCACTCGCCCGCCCCCCTTGTGGCTGCTGGAGAACTCTGTTCCCAGACGCGGTCCTTCCAGAGCGAGCGTGCATGCACGGAACACTGACGGGAAGCCATAGCCGGCGAATGTGGTGGAGGGGTTGCCGAGGACTAGGGGCTGCGGAAGGTGTTGCTATCGTCACGAGTTCCGCAGAGGTGGTGTGCAAGGGCCGACGCTGTGTGCAAAACAGTGACATTGTGGCCATGTCTCCATTGGATGTGCCTACTGCGGATGAGGAGTGGGAGGACATGATGTTCATGCTCGTTCTCCTCATGACCCAGTAGGTGAATAGGCGCAACGCTGCGGCCATGGCCATTCTTGAAGCAGTCGCCATCACCCCGTTCATGTTCCGGGATGTGTAGGGGGCGCTGACGATGCTTGCAGGGGGGGTGGTTCACGGCATGGCCTTGAGCTTCTTCGCAACACAGGAGTTGGGAAGACACATGAACTGTCGGAGAAGGCGGGTGTGGATGCTGGAGCGCAGCGGAGGTCTGTGGAAGGACCTGCAAAGGGTGGGTGCGGAGCACGACAAGGTGTTCGTGCGGTTCTGCAGATTACTAGGACCTCTGTTTTTGCAAGTTCTCTAGCGCATCACCCCCCATATCCAGCGCTCACCTACCAACTTTCGGTTGCCTCTACCGGTCGGACAGAAGTTCGCTTGCGCACTGATCCGATGGGCGACGGGCGGGTACTACCGGCAATCGTCCCACAATTTGGGTATGGGCCTTGCCAGTGCGGTGAGAAGCAACGAGGATGTCGCAGATGCTATCCTCCACGAGTACGGACACCTGCTCCAATTCCCCACAGGAAGGCGTTTGGAAGAGGTCCAGAACGCTTTCGAGGCAAAGGGGTTTCCCTGATGTGTGGGGGCCATCGACTGCACACACGTGTACATTGACAAGCCGAAGGGCACGCGGTCAGAGTGCTACTATCATCACACTGGAGACTTCTCTGTCGTCACCCAGATGGTGTGTGATAGCGAGTGCAGAATTGTCAACGTGTATGTCAGTTGCCCTGGTTCTGTGCACGACTCTCGTGTGTTGCGTATGTCACCGCTGTACCACAACACCATGGCAGGCAGAGGTGTGTTATGCGAAAGTGGAGCTATCCTGCACGACGGGACACACGTGGGTCGTTACCTGCTTGGAGATGCCGGTTACCCCATTCTCCCGTGGACCATGACACCTATGGGAAGATTCGCCAGAACTGATGCAGATCGCACTTACGACGGATGTCACTCGGCCGTGAGATCCTGTATAGAGCGGACATTCGGACGTTTGAAGACCGTGTGGAGGAATTTCATCCGCACTCAGATCGCGAATTTGGAGACGCTGAGCAAGGAATTCATAGTTGTGTGCATACTACACAACCTCATGATTGAGCATAGGGTGGAGATCGACCCGGAGCTGTTGAACCACAGTAGCGACAGCGAGGGTGACGGGCAGCCACGCAACCCCCGCCGATATCGGCGCCGCAACCGCCGATTTCGACGTCACCTTCCTGATTTGAACATCGAAGCCGTGCCGGAGATTGATCCGACTTACGGCTCCGACCTCGGCGCGAGGGTCAGGGCTGCCTTGATCGGACACATGGCCCATCATGTGGATGTTCATGGTGCGCCGCCGCCATGTCCGTGGAGATAGCGCAATTGGCGATGTGTGTGTGTGTGTGTGTGTGTGTGTGTGTGTGTGTGTGTGTGTGTGTGTGTGTGTGTG